CTATAGCAACCTTCAGCCTCAGGCCTCCAGGCCTGCCTTCTTGCAATCCATTATGCACAGGAGATTTTCTTCATCAGCTAAAAACCTTCCGAGACCCCTTAGGCCAGCACAGCTTCTTTGTGTGAATTGGAAGACAGTCCAACTTCACCTTTGGGCGGGGGGGGGCTGTGCTGGGGATCGAACTCGGGACCTTGCGCTTGCAAGGCAGGCGCCAGAACCACTGAGCTAAATCCCTGGCCCTCACCTTTTTTATTTGATCACAGTCTAAATCCTCACATGGCAGTCTAGAACCTTACTGTTGCCTTCCTATCCCAAACAACCAGCATAACTTCCCCTACCCTAAATGTCCTCTCTTCTCTTCACCAAGCCGTCTGGACCATCTCACAGGGCAAAATTCAAATCCCAACTCTTGCACACATACTTCCCTCTGACGCCAGCTCTTACCAGCCTCTTGCTTTCCTGAATTCCTCTAGCAATTACAGTGTATAACACAACTCTAACAGTCCATGAAATATCAGTTCACTACTGAGAAAGAACAATTGTGTGATCTTGGATAGATCATTTAACCTCTGCAGACCACAACTTCTTCATGTGTAATATGATAAAAGTCTAAGTTAAGACATTTTTTTTTTGTGCCGGGGATCAAACTCGGGACCTTAGGCTTGCGAGGCAGGCTCCGGAACCACTGAACTAAATCCCCGGGCCTAGTTAAGACATTTTTAAAGGTCTTTTCCATTCTACAAAACCTATAAATATACTGCTTTGTACTGTTTCACATATTAATCTCATCTCTTACAAGATTTTAGAGCTGCCAAAGGAACAAAGTACATTTTACAGTTCTCCAATTCTCAAAGCAATTGATCCCAGGATCTGGCTCAAGGAAGTGCTCAGTAAGTGTGACACTGAAATAGGCCAAGCAGCACCAAGGACAAGATGACACTGCAAAGAGCCAAAAGTAACACGAGACCTATTTCTCAAGTAGATTCAGGAAGCTGTAAAGGTAGTGAGTCCCCATCAGAGAAGACACCCAGGTGATGCAGGCAGGGGTGGTTCTCTTCTAGAGCTGAAGCAAGCAGGAAGCCAGCTCTAGAATGGAATGAGCACAGGTTTAAAGTTCTTTTAATTGCTATGCAGCACTATCTGCCACACATTCACCCCTACATAGCAGCTCCAACTTAGGTAAACTCAGGCAGTTTTATATGACCTGGGGAGACTATTCAGGGTTTTTTGTTTTTTAGTACTCAGAAACAAATCCAGACCTTGCCAATGCTAAGGCAAGTTCTCTTACCACTAAGCTACATCCCCAACCTGTTATTCAGGAGTCTTGTCAGTGGAAAACTGTGGGACCATCTCAAGCCTGTGCTACTTTTAACAAGGGGGAATATTAAGTGGATTTTTAGCCATGCAAGAATTGAAGCCTGCAGGGCTGGGGATTTAGCTCAGTGGTTTCGCAGCCTGCTGCACAAGCTCAAGGACCTGAGTTCGATCCCCAGTACCAAAAAAAAAAAAAAAAAAAGAATTGAAGCCTGCAAGAGAAGCAAGTCCTTCCATTTTAAAGCCCCAGTGCCTTTCCCTTACTTCATCAAGAAAACCACAGGCTTATATAAGGGGAAAGTAGCAAAAACCTCTCATCTCAGTAGCAGGTCAATGAATAGACAAAAAGTAAGTAAATGTAGCCAGGTGTGGCAGCGCATGCCTGTAACCCCACCACTTGGGAGGCTGAGGCAGAAGGACTGTTACAAGTTGGAGGCCAGCATGGGGTACGTAGTGAGTTCAAGGCCAGCCTGAACTATGTAACAAGACCCTGTCTCAGGGAAGGAAGGAAGGAACCAAGCAAGCAAGGAAGGAAGGAAGGAAAGAAAGAAAGACAGACAGAGAGACAGACCGACCGACCAGCCAGTAAGGAAAGGGTCTACTGGACAATAGTCAAACATTAAAAGTTAATCAGGAACACCAAGACACTGAGGGGATGTAATCTTTCTGAACTCTAGTCAGAGGCAGAGGGCAAAGACTATTTTGTTATCTTGAAATGAAGTGTATTCCATACCCAAATGCATATGTCTTCTTCAAGGGAAGACAAATATACTTCTACTTCAATCAAAGTTAAACTGGTCCATACTATCCCAGCCACTCCTACACATGGTTCAGCTTACAGCTAACATCTCAAAGAGTTATCAAATTACACCAAAGCCAGTCAAATCTGGCTGCTTTACTCCTTGAAGAAGGAAATGAGGAAAAACTTTTGTTTTTAAACTAACAGCTCTTAAGGCATGTCCCTCCTCTTCACTTAACTGTTATGAGACAAAGGGCAGCTACTATGTTGACACTTTTTTTTAATAAAGCCACCACATTACTAACAAACAGCTAATGGCCACCATTCAAAAGAAATAATGGCATTATGACTTCATATCCCAGTTTATCTATCAAATTGGAAGGAACCAAGTATATGTATCTTTCTCTCTTCTCAAAGAATATCTGCAAATAAATGTTAGCACTCTGATTCACTTTCTCCTTCATCATGGGGGGGGGCAGTATCACATTCCCTGATTATGGAATGGGAAAGGTTCTAAACTGGTTCTAAATCTGAATGATTTAAGGTGAAGACCTTATAACATGTTGATAGTCTAAGTCTAGGACAAATTTCTAAGCCAGCAATCAGGGAACACTGTTGTCTAAAAAGAGACTTCAAATCCCTAGTTTTAATTTGTTGATTTAGTGCTAAATATGCACTGGGAGCAAAAAATAAACTATCCTTTCAGGTTCAAGTTCCTAGGATGAACTTACAGAGGGGAAGGGGGACCTGATCCTAAAAGGATTTTGTACAGGCTACAAATGTGGGTACTTGAGTAGCCGGTCTTACTATGATATCACAAATGGATTATCTGTTGCAAACAGTAATCACTCACAAAAACATCAAATTATCTCTATACACCAATGACACAGAGTAGTTTAGTAATCTAAGTTGTTCTTGCTCTGACTTCTAGCTCTCTAAGAATCAGAAGATACATGAAGAGACAGTACATACATGTCTTTCTAAAACTTACAGCTCACTATCTGCTTCCTGGTCAACTGCGATGACTGTGATAACACCGGCAAAGAGTTTAATGTTACAACAAAGTTTTCTTCTCCCTTAAGAGCTTCTCAGTATCATATGAAGTTCAACCTAGATTTCTAACAGTAAGAAATAACTACAGGTAACTTCAGAGTACAACTCCATACCCTGGCACTACGGGCAAAGTAACATCAATACATCTGTATAACCTAAAAAATAACCTAAAAAAAAGTCCATTATATAGTTCTTTTTATAAATCACATTTTTACTTTTTGTTTTTTGAGACTCACTATGTAGTCTTGCCATGAACTCACTACGTACTCCAGGCTTGCCCCAACTCTCAATCCTCCTGCCTCAGCCTTCTAAGTGTTGGGATTTTTCTGCTTTCTTCCCCTACTAATTCTATGAATTTCTTTCCTTCAGGGGTACTAAACAAATGACTGGCAAACTTCAACAACTGAATGAAGGTTCCCAATAAAGAATGTCAAGACTTGAGACACAGTGAACACTCAAACGTTAAACTTCAGCTTTTCCTCAGTTAAAGTCAACACACTCTTCAATGACATCCCTGTAAAGATAAATTACCTATCTAAATGGGCAGACTGCTCCAGTCAATTGAGTAGACAACATAATTAACAGTGCCAGGTGGGGAGCGAATGCTCATGTAAATAGTGGGGCTCAAAATAAACTGCAAACTGTGAAGCTTATTTCTAAACTGTCAGCAAATTTCTGTTGTGCAATCAGATTTTAATATGGAGTAACTGTTCAAATTTCTTAAGAAAATCAAAATCTGACCTGTACAACAGCAAACTGGACCCTATTATTTAGAACTCCATTAGTTTTTTTCCACAAAGAATAAAAATACATTGAGGTTCTTTAATGAGTTTTACCATACATGTCTAACAATACCTCTAAACTGGGAAAATTAATTTCTAAACTACCAGGATCACATTTAAAAATCCAAAATCGTTTGGCTCTATAAATTAAGACTAAATACATCAAGTTTAGGTCTTAAAACAAAAATTCCCTTGGTTTTTATAAGCTCTATAAAGTAAGTCAATCCATTCATATCCTTCCTTTCTACAATCTTATTACTTTGACTTTTTCTGAAATATTACCAGTATCAACAAACAAATACTCCAGGCAGTCACACAAAGGCAGTTAAAGACCACACATCACACCAAATCTCTTAAGTCATACCGAATAATAGTCTATCCCGAATATATCACAAGCTAGCCAACATTAAGTGTGCAAGGAAAAAAGAACAAGCACGGCTTCTTTTGTGTTACCAGAGTGAAAGAAGGTAGCAGAGCACAAGGAGAGGTGATCTCAGGATTTTGCTTGGCATCAACACTTACCTTGAGGATGTCCCCCCTTTTGAAGCTCAGCTCATCGTCCGCAGTAGCTTTGAAGTCATATTTGGCGATGGCTTCCATTCTGAGCGCTGATCAGTGCTCAGCAGCCTGAAGCACGGGGGAAGGGAGTCTTCCCTGCTGAAGCAACCTAGCGCTCTGGGCTCAGCCTCACCTCTCTTCTGGGGCTACTCCTGCACGCTGAGAAGCACAATGCCACCCTGAATCAGAAGAGGGATGATTAGGAGAAGTGGCCAGGATCCACGGCAGCCCCGCCCTGCCAATCGGCCTGCTGTCCCAGCCCCCACGCCCCCTGGCTCAGCTGGGCTCAGCCCTCCTCCTCCCTTCCAGGCAACAGCCCACTCTCCTTCTTCCTCTTTTCAGCCTCAGCCCCAGGCGACTGACAGGCCCGGCGGCCAATGGCAGCAGCTGCTCGAGCTATTCCAGAACACACTTCCTCTTCCCTCCCGCTGACTGTGCTCGCTGTTCGGAACCGGCTGGAGTCCTGGTCAGTCTCCACCTTTCCTCTAGCGCCCCTCACACTTTTTCTTGGGTTACCAGGGCAGTACAGTACACAGAAAGAAAGGCCCACCTGAGGGTTGCACCTGGTTCTCTGTTAAACAGGCCTATCTCCCTCCCCTCTCCTCAACAACACTTCTGACTTCCTGTGAACACCGCCTCTCCTACTCCTTGGTCCGAAGCAAGCCACGCAGGCTTTAGTCTCATGCTGCTCTACTCTTTTCTCAAAAATGAATCTTACCACCATGAGCATCAATAGCTTTCCTGTACCACCTCCAAACTGTGATCAGCCATTCAGGCCACCAGAGAAAGATACCCTGCTGGGAGCTCTTTGGTGGTGAGCTGTACGTGCACAGGCTCACTGTTCCCTGAAGACCCCCAAAACTTTAGGGTTAACACTAGCCCTGAAAATAAGCTCAGAATTCCAGAAATAGCCTCTACATTATTTCTAACTAGCCTAAAAAATATAGCTGAACTTGTAATCTACACTTGGAAAGAATTCCTTTTAAAGAACCCAAGCTGACAAATATCTAAGTTTGGGGAAAAAAGTACAGGGATGGTGTCAGAAGGTCAAACTGAAAGCACAGTTACTCTGAGCAGTTTCTTTTCTCAGAAGAAAGAAAAATAGGCAAACTGCATTCTGCAGGTGGGAGATTAGGTCAGAACCTCTGAGCCAAGTTTTAGGTAATGATGGGGGCAGTGTGGTCACTACTGCAGTCAAGGGTCTCCCACCACAATCATGGGACACAACTGTGACCTTTGCATACCTAATAAAAAATAAAGCCTCATTCTTGTTTTCCTACACTCTAAACAAAAGCAGAAAACAAGGACACTGGCAGAATAAAGACAGATTATTTATAGTAGCACCTTTCTTGGACAATTAGCACCTAGAAGCTCATTTGAGGAGCACGAGTGATTGTTCTTTTGTTCTAAAGTTAATAATTGGGGCATTAATCAAACACAGCTATGAACAGACTAGGCACTAAACCAGCTGAGAATATTCAGATTAGTCCAAGGTATTGCCCAGAAGGAAAGAAATCACCTGGTAAAAAGTCCTTCCAGGGCTGGGGATTTAGCTCAGTGGTTCCACTGCCTGCTGCGCAAGCGCAAGGACCCAAGTTCGATCCCCCGTACCAAAACAAAAAGTCCTTCCAGTAAATTCTGAAAGCCAAACAGGCAGGTAACTAATAAACTAAGCCAATGTTTGTTTTTTGTTGGTTTTTTTTGGTACCAGGGATCGAACTTGGGACTTCCCGCGGCGGAACCACTGCGCTAAATCCCCCGGCCCAGCCAATGTTTGTTTTTTCAGACCATACCTAAGCTATTCTATGTGGTGCTGGCTCTAAAGAGGAAAGTTCCAGTAAATATATAAATATTTTTAAACATAAAAAGATTAGTCTGGATATTTACATTTGTGTATCTTTAAGTGCCCTTTACTTACACTCTATAATTTTTTAATCAAACTAACCCATACGCATAATTTTAAGTCAAAAGTATAAAATGGCTTACAAGCAGTTCCCTACCAATACCTGCATGCAATTACCCTGTTTTGTTTTTAGTCTTCTCTTTGCATTGATTTACAGTACTTCCAAATAATATCTTTCTATTGCTGTTTCTTAGTTCATTAGTCATTATTTATTCCCTAAAAAGTGAGGATTTAGCTCTTTCACCCCAATTTCTCCCAGCCAATTTTCCCCACAGTATCCTACTAGTGTTAAATATTCCAGTCTCATCAATAGTAATGCAAATAGTAATACATTATGAAGTATTTAGGGGCTGGGGATGTAGCTCAATGGCACCGTGCTAGCATCACAAGCACAAGGTCCTGAGTTCAATCCCCTCTGTACGGGGAGGCAGGGTTATTGTTCATTGATGATTTAAATAATATATTACACCACAATCAACTGAATTTTCCCAAGCATTAAAAACTGCTGGGGTTTTTTTACTTGGCTAGTTTCCAGTGTATGCTTTTACCTTTTTTTTTTTTTTTTAAACAAATGCTCTAAAATCCTGCTACATGCTATCAATATTTCCATACCCTACTCATTTTAACTGGTTCCCAGGATGAACTGTTGACACTCTATGACAATGTTAAGAAGCCGAAGAAGAACTGAACAGATTTGAAAAAAAGTCAGAAACTCAAAGCAATGCCACTGTCAATGTACTACATAGTAACAGGGTATAAACTTTTATGTCATTTGGGATTTAGGACATCATAATTTTACAGCAATAGCATAAAAACCAAAATAGCTCATAACACTCCCGTTCAACTTATCTGCCACAGGATTTCTGAGTTTAAAAAGATTAACAAGCTTAAAAAGATTAACACTCTGGGCCGAAGACTTAACTCAGTGGTTCCGACACCTGCCTTGCAAGCACAAGGTCCCAAGTTCGATCCCCGGTACAAAAATAAATAAATAAATATTAACACTCTAGAAAGTTGTAATTATTCAAGCAATCACTCAAATAATTATTGCTTTGGTTTTTGTTTGTTAGGCCAGGGATTTAGCTCAGTGGCTTTGCTGCCTGCTGCGCAAGTGCAAGGACCCGAGTTCAAACCCCAGTACCAAAAAAAGCAAAACAAACAAACAAAAAAACCTGCTTATTTGTTTGTTTGAGAAAGGGTCTCCCTATGTAGTTCAGGCTGACCCTGAACTCACTATGTAGCTTGGGCTGGTTTAGAACTTGTGGTAATCTTCCTGCTTCAGCCTCTCAAGTTCTATGATTATAGGCATGCACCACCATACCTGGTTTAACTATTGCTTTGTGAGGTATAATTTGACAAGAAATTACACCAATACTTCCATGGGTGTGCAAAATGAAAACTAGCATCTTATTTAGAAAATTCAAAGAGGTCAGCTTATTAGATTACCCACAGAAAAGGAATTCAAAAACTTTCATTGAAAATAGGAAAAAAACCCACTCTACCCCATATACAATACTAATTACTAAAAAGAAGAAATCTGAAGGTAGACAATGAACAATTTGGGGGAGGGAGTGCTGGGGATTGAACCCAGGGCCTTATGCATACTAAGTAACCATTCTACCACTGAGCTACAACCTCAGCCTTTGTCCAACAACTTTTTTTTTTTGGAGACAGGGTCTTGCAGGCTGGCCTTATGTAGCCCAGGCTGGCCTCGAATTTGCAGCAATCCTGCTTCAGCCTCCCAAGTGCTGGGATTACAGGTATGTGCCACTATGTCACACAAGAGATTTTAATAGAGACTGCTGTTCCCAAGAAAGTGAAGTGGCAGTGCATTTAACACTACTGCTTTAATTTTTCAAGTGATAAACACTGTATCTGAAAATCTAGTGTCCTAGCAGTATTTTAAAGATTTTATTCTCTTTCCAGTTAATTCTCTTCTCAAATTCACAGAAAATATGACACTAAACCACTATATCTTAGTGTTGAGTCTGCATGGTCTCTAGAGGCAGGTTAATTGCCACTCACTTAAGTAATGAACTTGCCGGTTACAGTTATAATTTTGGGAAAGCCTTTTAAAAAAGCTCCAGTTTTCTGATCTGTAAAATGGGATAATAACTACCTTACAAGATCCACTGAGCATTAAATTAGATAATATAGATAATACACGTGAGATGCTTTGGACAAACACATAATGGTTACTCAAATTTAAAATGTTACTCTACTGAGCCAGGCATGGTGGTACACACTGAGGCAGAAGGACTGCAAGGTCTCAACTAGCCCAGGCAATTTATTAAAACCCTATCTTCAAAACAAAACAAAACAGGACTGGTTATAGCTCAGTGTGAAGGCTCAGGATTCAATCCTCAGTACCAGAAAACAAATAAATGCAAACTAAGACAATGAGGGTTTTTTCACATACTAACTGGAAAAAGTTTTAAAGATTTGTAATATTGAGTCTCTGAAATACTTTGGGTAAACAGAGCCACACTATCAGACCTTCATTCATTCAACACTAAGAAGTTACTTGCCTAGTTTCTGCCAGCAATATGGTTCAATATATAGAACCATCAGAGTCCACACTGTGGCTGGGAATTAACCAGCTCAATCTTTCTGGAGAGCACAGTAATTTGGTAGTATCTATTGACAATTTAACAATACATTTTCTTTCTTTCTTTTTTTTTTTTTTTTGGTACCGGGGATCGAACTTGGGACCTTGCATTTGCGAAGCAGCTGCCAGAACCACTGGGCTAAATCCCCGGCCCAACAATACATGTTCTTGATTAAGCAATGCCACTTCACAAACTTATTTCACTGAAATAGGATATGCAATATGCACATGCAATATGCAAAATATATACACCTGATCAATATCCATGAGTCTTTCTTGAGACAAGCCCTAGTTCAGCCCTCAACTTGCTACTTAGCCCTGAACTACATACTGAAGCCCTATCTCAGAAACACAAACAACAACAAAAAAAATAAAAATTTTAAAAATTTAAAAATTCAGAAGGCCAGCAACTGTTATGACTATGAGGAAGATCATTTCTGCACATTTCAATTGTATTTTGTTTTTACAGTAACCATGTATGACTTTGGTAGTTAAAAGAACAAAAGCTTAAAACCTTACAGATGCTCTGGAGTTTGCTGGATTCAACTGTCACTTTACCACTTACAAACTGAATGACACTGGAGAAAGACCTTAGATCCTCCAATCCGCAATATCCCTCAACTGGAAAATTGGTGTAATATCAGCATCTATTTTATAAAGTCAATTTGGAGATTGAGGTAAAGCCTGCAAATGGCTTGGCAGAGTCTCTGGCATAAAGACACATGAACTGGCATCATCAATCCCTTTTCAAATATCAATCCACATGCTGTGAGAGTAAATTTAGATCATGCACCTAAATTAACAACCCTATTAAATACAAACTTGGGTCAGGGATGTAGCTCAGTGGTAGAGCACTTGACTAGGATGCAGGAGATACTTATACATATAAATCTGAAGAATCACAGCTATACTCTGAGTACTTTAAGCAAATTTTAAAATTTGCATTTCAGCCAAATGCCCTGGGGCCTTCCCACAGTCGCAGCTACTCCAAGACTGAGGCAGGAGGATGGCAAGTTCCAGCCCAGCCTGGACAACTTTTATTCTGTCTCAGAATAAAAAATTTTTAAAAAGGGTTGGAGATGTAGTTCAGTAATAGAGTACAAACCCCTGGAGTCAATCCCCAGAACTGCCCTCCCAATTGTGTTCCAGATAATGCATTATAGCATCTTTGCATAAAATGAAAGTAATACATACTCATTTGGCACAACTGGGGAAAGGCCTACTTCCACAAATGAGAAAAAGCAAAATAAAGAATCTTAATGGCCATTTCATAACAGTGCAGTTCCTGTAAATTAAGCCAGTATGGTAACTACAAATTTTTCTTAGGAAGGAATAATGGCTTTCTATTCCACATTACTTCATTTCTCCCAAATCTACTACTCTTTTGCTCTACCTAATAATTTGATAACAAGAATTCTTGAGGAATATCTCTAAGTACCATTAACAAGCAGTACTTAAAACCCAGCAATTCTCTCAAATCTGTAAACTTGCTGAAGAAGTAAACTGCCTCAAGTATTTAAATGCTTACCTTCTGTCAAAGAAAAATATAAGAATTAATTTTGGGGGGAGCAAGCAGGTAACTGGGGTTTGAACCCAGGGCCTTCATGCTGACCTACATCCCCAGCTCTTTTTATGTTATTTTAAATGTCAAAACAGGGTCTCACTAAATTGCCCAGGGTAACCTAGAACTTGTGATGCTCCTGTCCAGCCTCCCGAGTGCTGGGATCACAGGTGTGCGCCACTACATCAGGCTAAAATTTAACATTTTTTTCTTGTGATATGGAAAATTTTAAACATGAGAAGGAACAACAACAACAAAAATTCTGTCAAAAATAAAAAATGTGGGGGCAGAGAAAACAGGTCAGGGGTAGCTCATGATTAGCATGCAGGGGGCCCTGGGTTTGAGCCCCAGTACAGAAGTAGAGGAAAAGGAGGAGGAAGACCAAGGCGGCCAAATATAATGGATGTTAAATTTTTAGAAAGACTGATGAGTAAATCAGTACTATTACAATGGGCAGGCTTTGACTAATTCATCAACGGTCTAAATAAGTTATAGTCCATTAAATTTTTAAGGTTATGTTAATTCTATTTTACTGTAGGTCTGTAGCTGATTTTTATTTTTTAACACTAACCACCCATACTGAAAATCAAAATGAAGTCATATAAGCCCCAAACTGACATAATCTTCCTCAATAATACGAAAAAGACAGAGGAAAAAAAACAATGGCAAACAATCACAAAAGATTTAACGTGAAGAAAAAACTAAAACACAAAAAAACTAAATAACACAAGCAAGCTACACTTGTGACCTTGTGGCACTACTGATTACTTACGGATGAATTCAATCCTTTGAGCCTCCCAGTTCCCAGGGGGAGAACTTAAATCTCACATAGCTCTCTAGCAACCCATCGGGCTGGCTGAAGGACACAGTGGACTCTTGCTTAAAGGTAAAAGAGTGAAAGAAGGAAACGAGATCTTCCAACGAAAGATGTAATCTTGAAAGGAGGAAGAAAATCCACAGCTCCAAAAAGGGATAAAGTTCGAAAAATTTTGTCTGGGAAGGGACAGAAAGGAGGAAGAGGAAGTAGATTAGAAAAAAAGAGGTGCGAGAGAAGCAAATGACCGGAGTTACAAAAATAAGCATTTCGGGTCCCTAGTGCAATGTGGAGACCGAGAAGAGAAGCCGGTGGAAAAGCACAAAGCCAAAGAGGTAAGAACCCCAAAACAGACTAAAGCGAAAACTTCTTGTCTCTTAGTTTTTTGAGCGCCAACAGCACCTAAAGATAATCCTCAAGTGCACATCAGCTCTTCTGCAATTTGCACTTTTATAGCATTTGAAGCGAGCCTAGAATCATTTTCTACGCAAGCCGTAATTCATCTGCCCTAGTCACGTACGTGTAAGGATAGTATTGCAAATATTAACACCGCTCTCGTGCGCTGAAATCTTTCTCCGAGCGCTCCGACCTGCCACTGCTCATTTTTTCTGACCAGTATTTTCCAAGTAGTTTAAAGAAGAAAAGCTCTAGCAACAGACGCTTCTCTGCGGGCTCCAGTAGCAAACATTTTAACTCACGGTAGATGGATTTCCGCAAAAAATTCGCCCAAAGATGCCAAGAAATGGTGACGTGGTTGCCGTGCAGATCGAAGGAGCATCAATCACACGTTAGCAGCCTGCACCGAATCCCCCGCCTCCAGGGCTAAGTCAGCCTGACTCAGAATTAGCACCCTGCGCCTCTCAGGTGCTCCAGGGCCCCTTCTGCGAAAACCCTCACGACGGGAGGCAGAACTCATTAGGGAGCCCCAGCCACTTCCCGGGCTCTGCCCAGCGCGGGAGGACGGTCCCCAGGGAGGAAGCGTCCCAAAAGGGGAAACGCGGTGTCCGGAGCCCAGCGGTTCCGCTCCTCGTCCCGAGCCTCGCCGCCACGACCGGAACCCTGAGTCTGCCCGGAGGCCCCAAGCAGGCTGGGAACGGCAACTCGCCGCTGAGAAGAGAGGAAGAGACACCGGAGCTCGGCGAGCGCCGCCGCCCGCACTCACCGTGGCGCAACTACTCTCGACGCGCCCGGCCCGCCTCTCCGCAGCGCTGCGAGCGGCCGCAGACCCCGCTGCTGCTCCTCGAGGGCAGCGTCTGCTCCGGCCGCCGTCACCGCCTCAGGTTCAGTCGCGGTCGTCGCTGCCGCCGCCGCCACCGCCCGGTAGCCCAAGCAGCACAGCCGCCCCGCTTCCGCTCCTTGCCCGGGTCCCGCGAGAAGTTCCCCACGCGGCCCCGCCCCCGCGAGACTTCCCCCGGCGGAAAAGGCCCACAGCGCAAGCGCTCATTCTTGGCCCGCCGGGCCCCCGCAGGTAGTTGCGCTGCTTGCCCGGACGCACGCGCAACGATGCCTCACAGCAGGTGGCACCCGCCTGGCTCCGCCCCCTGGTCGCAGTAACCCTCTCGGTGCTGGAGAGTACCGTTCTCTCCTGAAGAAGTAACACTTCCCCGTTCAAATCACTTTTCCTTCGCTTTCCACCAGTTCTTGGCAATGACAACAGAGGGAAAAGAGGTCTTCTAGCGTGGCACACTGCCCATATATAGAATCTGGTCTTCAATTGTTTGGGAATCCATATCATACAAACTGCATTATTAGATGAATTCGTGGATTCGTTCGTTCATTGACTGAACCATGCACCTAATATATGTAAGCATCGTCCTGGGCATAGAAGATAAAAAGATGAAAAGAAATTCTAGCCCTCAAAAAAATAAGAAGAAAGAAATCAATCAGTCCTGGCCCAACAAGCAATTCACAGTCCAAAGAAGTAGCGGAGAAGTAAACAGTGCCATTCTACTGTTATAAGTATTTGAGGGAAGGCTGAGGAAGCTAAAAAGATGAAAGAGGGGCCCACTTCAGAGAAGCCTTCATGGAGAAGGTGATGTGGAGCATGAGTAGGAGTGGGGCAGGCAGAGCAGCCTAAGTGAGGGCGTATCAGGCAGAGGAACTGGCACATGCGTGCAGAGGAACGGAGGCGTGAGGAAGTCCTGTTTTGTGTGATGCTAAGTAGTTCCACTCCTGTGCGAAGCCTCTTAAGTACCGGAGAGTGGCAGAAGATGAGGCTTGGAGAGCTAACTTATTTTTCAGCTCCAAAAGTTCTTTCCAGTTAAAGGAGAGAAGAGAATACCTCTAATGTTTATGTGCTCTCTGGCGGTCAACAAAATAATGTTGAGCTGAGAATAATCAAACATCTAATTCCACAGAGTGAGCGAGCCCATTAAAATAAGAAAAATGTATTGTTCTTTCACCAAACGTTGCCTGACCATCAGCTGCCTGTGAGATGCTCTGTAGGGTAAAAGATGAACCAGACAAAGCCTCTGCTTTCAGCAGTTTTGTTGTTTTGTTTGCGGTACTGGGGATTAAACCCAGTGATGCTCTACGACTGAGCTACATCCTCAGCCTTTTTTATTTTTTTATGTATTTATTTTGAGACAGTCTCTCTAAGTTGCCCAAGCCGGTCTCAAACTTGGAATCGTCCTATCTCAGCCTGTGCAGTAGTTGGGGTTACAAGCATGTGCCATGGTACCTGGCTAGCAGTTTGAAAGAGAAGTCTAGCAGACTGGCTAGCAGTTTGAAAGACAAGTTGGTCTTAAGTGCCTCTGAACTGCATAGAGGACTGCCACAAAGGAGGGAGTCATTACTTGGTGCTGAGGTAATCAGGAAAGAGGTGGTTTAAACTGCAAAGTGAGAGTACAGAGGAAAGTGACGGAATCTGCCAATATTTCAGGTTGGGCAAAGCCCAGAGTTTGGAGGAGGAATAATGAGTGAGGCACAGAAGGGTTTCATTTTCAAATGATATCCAACCTGGAAGGTTTTTAAGCAGAAGAGATCTGATAAAAGGTGAAAATAACAAGAGGATCATCTATGTAACCACCTGAGCTGTATAAAGGCATAGTGCCTCCCAGGGCTGGTAATAGCCTCCGTTTTACAGACTCACTAACTGAGGCTTAGAGAGGTTGGTAATTTACCCAAGAAAACTGTACTACAGTAGACCAAGTTTTGAACAAAGGCGTGTCTTGTTTTAAAACTCACATTTTCTTCCGCACGGTGACACTATGTTCTAAAATGGTAGCCTGAAAAAAAATAGAAATGAAAGAGAAAGATTTGCCTGATCTGCAGAGGTGGGGGCAGGGATGAGGAAGGATTGCAGTTCTTTGTTTTGAGTAGGCTTAGATAGTAGGGAGAACAGCATAAATACTTGTCACTTGAGGACTAGCTTAGGAACCAAGAGAACCATGTAGAATACTTGTAACTGTTGGGACCATTGACCTTCAAGAAATTTCAGTCATCCTTGTCCCAGCTAGATCATGCCCTCAGAGCTGGGAAAAGCATTAGAAAAGGGGCTGATTGGGGCCGGGGATTTAGCTCAGTGGTTTCGCCACCTGCTGCGCAAGTGCAAAGACCCGAGTTCGATCCCCAGTACCAAAAAAAAAAAAAAGGAAAGAAAGAAAAGGGGCTGATTGTGATTGTGCTCAACTATTGGCATTCAGATACCATATATCGATTATTAGAGGGAAGTGGGGGGGACAATGATGTCATTGTGGATCCACAGGCAAAGCAGCTCCACTCTGAAAACCTAGAATTCAGACACTTGTAGCATCCACATTATGTTTAAGTATTTATTTAAAATGAGATAAGCATGGTGGACGCAAGCCTATATTTCCAACACCTTGGAGCTGAGGCAGGAGGACTGCCAGAAGTTCGAGGCCAGCCAGGGCTACATAGTGAGTTCAAGGCCAACCTGAACTACATGCCAAGATCATGTCTCAAAAAAACCAAAAGAAAATTATTTAAAACAAAAGAACCATAGCTTCCATTTGTACTTAAGCATTAGCTCCTCTTTTGCACAGCCAGATATTTGCAATGATGTTCTATGTTGGGCATTCTGCTACCAAATAATAAAACAGGACATGGAGAAAGAAAAGAGGAGTAGCTGAGTGGAGGTGGGGACACAGTGAAGGGGGACAGGCAAATAAGGGGATATTAATGGCCCAATTTTGAAAATGTAGAACTCAGCACTGTGGGAGACATGCGGGTGGAAATATCCAGTGTGCTGTTAAAAACCTCATGCATTCATTCATTCTGTCTTCCAACATTAACTGAGCCTCTACTCTGTTGCACACTGGACAACGCTTCCATACTTCAGAGAATATGACAAGGTTCATATTGATCGTTTTTGAAGCACAAAGCAAGAGACCTGACCTCTTCCAGGATTATGGAAGGCAGGGGGGGTGAGGTTTAAGCTGAGACTTATTAGCCTAAGAGGAAGAGAGTGTTCTAGGATAAAGAAGCATGTGGCATGTGGGTGAGGCAGTTGGAGAGATTCATGGGCTCAGTTTATGGGATGCTGAAGCAGAATTTGGCCACAGTCAGACTCTCATCTACAAAATACTTTATCACTGTGGCTGCAGAGTGGAAAATCAATTGGAACTAAGATACTTATCATCTATAAGATTAATGTCACAAGTCTGTTGCAAGGGCCCTGAAGATCAGCCCCTGCCTGCTAGCCTGCCCTCTGAGTCTCCGACCAACATAAACTTCACCAATACTAAACCACTTGTGGTTTCCGGAAGGTGCCATGATCATTTGAATGTCCATATCTCTGCACATGCAATTTCCTCTTCTCAGTTGGCCTTCTCTATATTTAGGTGCCCAAGTCAGTATTAGGGCTTTTTCAAAAATTCCCATTATACATCTTATCTTATAACATCATTATCTTTTGTTCACTGCTCCCCCCCGCAATGGTCTATAGAAGCTCCAGGACAGACTCGATTATGCCTTTTCACATTTGTATTCTCAGCGCCCAGCACAGGGCAGGAAGTGAATAAATGAATGCATGAATGAAGAAATAATGGAGGCTGAGTAGAATTCAAAATGGGGCTGCTTTTCGGTGCAGTGGTGATATTTGAAACTAAGGAAGCAGGTGAGGTCTTAGAAAAAAAAGTAGGTGTCTAACAGAGAAGGGAAAAATTATGTACTTCTTTTTCAAATACAGCCTCAATAAAACAGACTCTGAGTATGTCTATATAAAAATATATGCAGATGGGCCAGATTTGGAAGGGAACATTTAAAAGTAAAAATGATTGTGTTGAAATGGTGCACTGGTGGGTGACTAAGTAGAAGTCACATCCTGGAATGAAAACCTGTTGTAACTAATTACAGAGTGGCCACATCAGACACGGCATAATGCAAATTAATCACCAAAAATTCTCTTTTGCCTTGGGATTTGTAGTTAATTTTAGTCACCAGGAAGGGTTTCTGGCTTTGTATTCTGTGGTTATGGTGCTGCCACCTGCAGGTAACAATCTGGCACTGCCTGGGGATTTACTGAACCTTGGAGGCCCATATATCCCTGGCCTGACAGTTGACCCCTTTCCTTGGGAGCTGGTCCAAGATCATGTCAGGTATATCCTCCAAGATGCACACATTTACTGGCTTCTCTTAACTTTTTTTTTTTTTTTTTGTACCAGGGATCGAACTCGGGTCCTTGTGGTTGCAAGGCAGGCGGCGGAACCACTGAGCTAAATCCCTGGCGTACTGGCTTCTCTTAAGTGGGAAAGAACCAGACAAACAATGACAACTTCAATTTGGCATTTGAAATTCTATTCCCAGTTGCCCAAGTGATCTTGGAGGCTCAGCTAGAGCATCCTTCACTTAAACTATGAGCCAGGGATCCACAGAACTTCCAGGCCTTGACGGCTGCCTGTGATGCAGAGCCATCATGAGACACCAAGTGTTGTGACACCACCTCATCAACACCCAGCTCTCACCTGACCTGGTGCATACTCCCATCCCCCTGGGGGCTGCGCCAGCCTGCTTGTGGATCACCTCCTCCCGTTATTCATTACATTAAAGCCAGGGTGGATGGACTTTCTCAAACACAAACCCAACTAAGAGGTCACAGATATGGTCCAGAGTCTTCAGCATGTTGCATGTGACTCTCCATGGCTGGCCCCTGATGACAACTCCAGCTTCAGTTCTTATCCATCTCCATTTGAATTCTGTGTCCCTACTCTTTGGAACTATTTACAGTTTCTTGGAAAACTCTATAATTCTCTTACCTTCCAGTTTTTGTACATGCTGCTCCACACTTTGTTCTGTTGGGCTTGAATGTTTCTTCTCCCTGCCTTCCCATCTTCACTTGACTCTTATCTGTCCATCAATACTCAACTGCAGTGCTGCCTCACCCAGGAAGCTCTCAGGGTGATCTGGGCTCCAGTGTGTTCTCA